TAAGTGTTAAGTGTCCTCTAGCGCTTTGAAAACATAAAACTTTTTATAACCACTACATATAACATGTTTATAGAACCCAGAAGATAATGTACAATTTACTTATTTTAAAACCTATAGAAATTTTAACTTTTTTATTTATTGTTTTATTTATTTTGTGTGTATGAGTGTATTGCCTGCATGTGTGTAAGTGCACTTGTGTCGTGCAATGCCTGCGGAGGCCAGAAGTGGGTGTTGGATTCCCTGGAACTGGAGTTAAGGACAATTGCTAGTGTTTTTAACGGCTGAGCTCTCTCTCTAGCCCAAAACTTTAATTTAACTTCTAAATCTCTGAGCAACAACAGCCTGTCCATCTTTAACATCACCACACTGAGCCAAGAATGATTACAAACTTGGAGAAACTGATCCTCTTTTTTTTGAGACAGGGTTTCCCTGTAGCCCCAACTGGCCTGGAACTTGCTATGTAGTCCAGGCTGGCCTAGATCTCAGAGATCCACCTGCCTCTGCTTCCCAAGTGCTGAGATTAAGTGTGTGCCACCACATCTGAAGTGAAAAACTGACTTTTTAACAAACAATATATAGGTGAAAACTTTTGTCCTGATCTTAGTCTTTCTGTCTCTGGATAGCAAACTGCTCTTAGACTCATTGGGAGCTGTCATCAGATCCAGATCACAGAACATGCAGGACTATTGTTAACTGTAACATTCCTTTTGTAACCTCAGTGGTTACTGTCTTCTGTGGTTTGTGCATCAGTGTTGAGAGTAGGACCTTTAACAGGTGACCAATGATGGGCCAGCAAGATGGCTCAGCTAGTAAAGGTGCCTGCCATCAAGGCTGATGATGGATGTCTGACCCCTCGGATCCACATGGTGGAAGAAGAGAACTGACTACTCTAAGTTGTCTTCTGACCTCCACATGCACATGGTGGCATGTGTATGCCCACACAGGCATATATATAAATAGCACACAATAAATGAATAACAGATGCCATAAAATTTCTTTGAAAAGGGCTGGCATGGTGGTGCATACCTTTAATCCTAGCAATTAGGAGGCAGATGCAGGCAGATCTCCGTGAGTTCAAAGCCAGCCTGGTTTATATAGTGAGTTCTAGGCCAGCCAGACAAAAAATTAACAAGGGGCTGGAGAGATGGTTCAGCAGTTAAGACCATGTGCTGCTCTTCTAGAGGTCCAAAATTTGGCCCCCAGCACCCATGTTGGGCGGCTCACAACTACCTGTAACTTCAGCTTCAGGGTATTTGACACCATCTTCTGGTTTTCAAAGGTACTGCACTCATTCTCTCTCTGTCTCTCTCTCTGTCTCTCTCTGTCTCTCTGTCTCTCTCTCTCTCTCTCTCACACACACACAAATAAAAATAAAATCTTAATTTCTTTTTCAAAAAGAGGTGATTGATGCTGTTATTACAGAGTAGGCTAGTTGTCAAAGGAATAGGATCTTGATAAATGAATGAGCTCACTGTCTACCACTTGATGCCTTGTGCCAAGATCTGACCCAGCATGAAAGCCTTATCAGATGCAGCCCCCTAACCTGGACTTTCCAGCCTCCAGTACGGTGAGCCAAAAACATTTCTGTTCCTTACATGTTCCTCTAAATGGGCCAGCACATGCTATTGATCAAGCACATTCCACATCAGCTTCAGTGCTGAGTGATTTATGGTAATCTCTGCTATTCAGGATAATTGAGATAGTTTGGCACAGGCCCTAGAAGTGATTCTCAAAGGTGAGTTTAAGGGTGTTTTGAACACCAACAGCATTGTCAGAACAGCTGTGTGTCCCCTGAAGTGATCACTCTGAAGAAAGCAATGCTTATTTGGATAAATAAATGATCATGTCTTTGCTAAAATAATCACTTTCAGTTCTGGCATCATATACTTGAATGCACAATGCATGTGCTTTTCTTAAAACCCTAAGTGCTTGCTCCTATTGTTAATTCCTGTCTTTTGTTTTTGTTTTTGTTCTTTTAAGACATACTTTTCCCTCTGTAGCCCAGGCTGGCTAGAAACACACTATGTAGCCTAGACTACCCTCTAACTCTCTATTTTCCCTCACCTTCTTGAGTGTTGGAATGGCAGGCATGCATCACTACACTGGCCATAAGTTAAACTGTTATTTCTTCTTTTTGGGCAGTAAGGAGGGCCAATACATTAACAGGACCACAGGATGTGTGCCAAATGACACTTGTCTGCTATAAAACCAGATCTGAGAAGTAGACCTCATTCTCTTCAGCTTTCCTGCCTGGGGTCTGCCATTTTCTCAGGATCTTCTCTTTTTAAAGATATTTTATTTATTTTTATTTTATATGTAGGAGTGTATTACCTGCATGTATGTAAGTGCACCTGTGTTGTGCAATGCCCACAGAGGTCAGAAGAAGGCATCAGATTCTCTGGAACTGGAGTTATGGATGGTTGTTAGCCGCCATGTGGGTGCTGGGAATCGAACCTAGGTCCTTTGCAAGAGCAGTCAGTGCTCATAACCACCGAGCAATCTCTCCAGCCTGGAACTTATCTTTTTACTTGACTCTTACCGAATGCTCAGGGCTGTCAGAATTTCTGGAGAGGAGGTTCTCAGTACTGAAACCACGGCTACTGGACTGATGTCTCCCTGGAATAACAAAATGAATCCTGAAGAGAGTGGGCTAGTCTTCAGAATGCTTCAAGTCCAAATAGTTCACACATAGTAGTTGAACTGGGTTTGCACAGTGACTATGAGAACCTGAAATCCATGCCCACTGTTCTGTGGTGAGAGACTCAGAGCAGCTGGGAGCTGCTCTGACATCTGGAAGCCTTCTGGAAGTGACTGTAGAGGACTCCCTGTCATCCCTTGCTTGCAATGCTGACCTTATGAATGTCTTCCCCACCCAGGATGTACCTGGCTTTCCTCTGCTGTCTAAAACTAGAGAAACCAAACCCCAAGTCCAGATGATCCCTACTCCCTCTCTAAAGCTTTCTGGTTCCCACTGGAAGTGCAGCGTACTCAGTGCTATCCCATCAGTCTGGCTGCTTCTGAGAGGTGAGAGGTGTATTCTGGGAACAGAAGTTCAGAGTGTCAGGACTCCATGAATTAGGAGAAACTTACCCAGCTCTGCTTGCTGCCAAGGCAAGAAGTCATAAATATTTTTGGTTCGTTGTCTAGGTCGAGGCAGAGTCAGTGAAGGAGCTACCTGGAAATAAGGAATTTTCCCTGCAAGGCAATGGGTGAGATCAGGCAAAGCAGGGGCCAGAGTACAAAATGAGATGGTCCCTGGCACTGTTTCCACCCTCACTAGGTATCAGAAAAGATATATTTCCACTTGTGCTAGAGTTTGGAGAACTCAGTGAAGAGTTCTGGGCACAGAAGAAACCGGGCACAGGACACTAGAACAACATCTTCCTGACAGTGCTCAGATCTGCATTGCAGCCACAGCTCAGGACCAGAGTGTCAGGTAAAGACAAAGGAGTCTCCAGAGCAATAGCTTATCATTAGAAAATGCACTAAGTGGTGGACTGGAGGGTCAATTCCACTGTATCTCAACTCGGGGAAAACAAGGGACTCACGCTTCTTCTGTTTGTTCCAGTTCCACAGGATGCAGGCAGCTATGATGACCAGGAAGATGGCCAGGATTCCCACAAAGCCAGGGAAGATGCTGCTCTGGTCGTTCTCTCTAGAAAGAAAACCGAATGTCATGTCCCAGATGGTCAAATGATGCAGGGTGGAGGGGTATTAGAGAAGACATTACCTTCGGGAGTTAGATCTCAAATGAGACCATGAAGGCAAGGACTTGTCAGGAGGTGACTAAGGAAAACCTCAGCTATGTCTCTTGATGGTCAGAATGTCCCTTTGTGGTTATAGTCATAAAAATTTCTTTAAAATCCACGATGCAGAACTCATTGGGTTGCTCTCTGTCTTGGGCCAGCTCACTCCATCCTCTCTTTGGAGTGTTTGCTTTGCTTAGCTTTGCTAAAGAAACTTCAATGTAAACTGTATAGTGGTTAAGAGCACTGGCTGCTCTTGCAGAGGACCTGGGTTTGGTTCCCAGCATCCACATAGTGGCTAACAACTGGCTGTGACTCCAGTTCCAGGAGATTTGATGCCCTCTTCTGACCTCCATGTACATGGCACACTTGAATAAATGCAGGCAAAATACTCATACACATAAGAAAATAAAACTGTATGTCTCTTGACTGAATTCTTTTCTTCAGAAGGACACAAACCATGAGATCCCTGCCTCCCTGTGACATGAGGATATGGAATGGGAGCCTAAGGGAGGATGCCAAGGTGGTGGCACAGAATAGTGCAAGAGCAGGTCATCTCTGAACAGCAACTTTATGGAGAAAGAAGATTGGCACACAGGAAAGGGAGCCATCCATTTTGAATGCCTACTGGGTGCTAGGGGCTTGAGAGTGAAACATTTTTTCTCTACACAAAAATCCCATCCTGCTACAAGGCCAAGGAACTTGAAATTTGGATTGAGGAATGAAAAGTAACATGTGTCCAAGATCACAGAGGTCAGAAAGTTCAGAGACAGAGTAAGAGTCTGAAGGTCTGGAGAAATGACTCAGCTGTTAAGAGCACAGGCTGCTTTTGTGGAGGACTTGGGTTTGGTTCTTAGCACCCACATGGTGACCAACAACTATACATAACTCCAGTTTTAGGGGATCCAATGCCCTCTTTTGGTCTGCGGAGGGCATTGCAGGACATGGGTACACTTAAATTCAGACAAAATACTCATACATAAAAATTTAAAAAGAAAAAGAAAAGAGTCTGTTTGTGTCAGAGACCATTCTTTTTCCACTCTTGTGCACTGGCCCCAAACTTCCAAAGTCAAATGCATCTGGCATGGCTTCCCCTTGTTCTGCTCCTGGGTTTCCTGTCTTGCTGGGAGAGGATTACTCAACTATTAGGGAGAGGCTTGGTGGCATAGTCCAGCTTGCATGAACTTGAGTAACCCCAAACTGTAGCTCCAGTTTCCAAGCAACACTCAGCTGTTGGGCGAAATTTAACCAACCCAAGCTCTGAGCAGCCTTGCAATTCCCTGGCAGGGCTGCAGTCACCCTTCTGCTTGGGTGTTGAAATGCATCCAGATGATTGTAACACCAGGCAGTCCCGCCCACTATAACAGGAAGTTGAGTGGAAGGTGAGCAGGAACCAGCAGCTGACCTACTACCCCTAAATATTAAAGCCAGGTCATCTACCTATCAGGAAAAGTTTTTGTTCTGAATTCTAGGTTTATTTATCCAACTTTCTATTGGTTATTTCCATTAGGCTGCCTCAAATCAACACAGAACACCTGTTGTGCTTCTATACACAGCTCCTCCTCTAGCATTTCTGGTCATCTAGTGGTATGGTCAAAACTTTTGGCACACTCCTGACTGATTTTTTTTTTTCTTTCATGTCCTATTTACAATTAACCAGCTTTGTGTTGGAAAGGACATCTACTTCAAGCCCACTCACTTCTTGTTCCTCCATTGCTACCACCTGACACAAGCCTGGGATAAGTTTCAGGTAGAATTTTCCATTGACCTCCTTGGTGGCTCTTCTGGCTTTCATTCCAAGCCTCAACATAACCATCTTTACCTATAAGCCAGCGTGACCACTGTATACAGTAAATCATAGCATGTCCCTCCTCAGCTAAGAATCTTGTGTGGCTTTCCATCTTGCTGACAATGAGGCTCCAGCCCTTACCTAGAGAAGACTTTTTGGTGCCATGTGATCTAGCCTCTCCTGACTAACTTCTGGGCTCATTTCCTACCCCTTTCCCTCTGATGACCACCATGACCTCTTGCTGCTCCTGACCATATGAAACGCAGTTCTGTGTTGGCTCTGCCTTTCCCTTTCCCATGATCTCTCCTGCCCCAGCTAGTCCATTCAAGTCTCTTCTGCAATGACACCTTCTCAGATAGGTCTTCTCTGGTCATAACTCCAGTTTTCTTACTTAGCTCTATTTTTTTCTTCAGAGCACTTATGGCTGACTGTTACTACAAGGTCCATTCATTTGCTTATCTGGTTGCCCCTGAACACTGCCTCTTGACTCTGTGCTTTAGGAAGTCATGGACTTGTCTCTCCTGTTCACTTAGCACTAAACAGTGTCTGATAGTAGGAGCCTGGATGAATAATTTGTTAAATGTTATGTGAATGAAATAATAAATAAATGAATATAGAAATAGTTTTAAGGTTAACACCGTCATTGTGTAAAACAGCATGAAAAGTATTCAAAAAATTAAAAATAGAACCACCATATGCTCTGCCAATCCTGCTACTGGGTATGTCTAAAGCAAATGAAGGCAGTGTGTCTGCATGTCCATGTTATTACAGGTGTTTGCACTGCCAAGTTCATTGCAGCACAACTCATAATAGCTAAAACATGGCATCAACCTGAGTGTCTGTCAGCAGATGAATGGTTAGAGAAAATGTGAATACATACACAGTAGAAACTATTCTGCCTTAGGAAGGAAGAAGATCTTGCTGTTTGTGTCAATGTGGATAGGCAGATGTTAAGCAAAAGAAGTCAGGAACTGATAACTACTGCCCAGTCTCACGTATATATGGAATCTAAGAACGTTGAACTCATAGGAGTAGAGCATAGAATTGTGGTCACAGGGGTGGTGGGGGAGGGCTTGCAGAGATCAAAGGTTAGGTGGAAGGAAGAAGCTCAACATTCTTGAACACTACTTAGAGTATATTCAAGTGTATTCATCATAAAAAGATACATCAAACAATACACATTACTTAGCTCAATTTAGCCATTCTACAATGTATACATATTTCAAAACAACATGCCAAATATAATAAATATATATAATTTTTAATGTTTTATTACTTTTATTTATGTTTATGAGTGCATTGCATATATGTATGTAAGTGTATCCATGTGGTGCAATGCCTGTGGAGGTCAGAAGAGGGTGTTGGATCCCTTGGAACTGGAGTAATGGATGGTTATAAGTTGCCGTGTGGGTGGTGGGGTTCGAAACTGGGTCCCCTGTGATCCCTTGGAACTGGAGTAATGGATAGTTATTAGTTGCCCTGTGGGTGCTGGGATTTGAACCTGGGTCCCCTGCAAGAATAGTCACTGCTCTTAATCACTGAGCCATCTCTCCAGTCAAATAAATAAATATTTTTTTTTTTTGGAGACAGGGTCTCCCTGTAGCCCCTGCTGTCCTGGAACTCACTATGTAGACCAGGCTGGACTCGAACTCACAAAGATCCGCCTGCCTCTGCCTCCCAAGTGCTGGGATTAAAGGCATGCACCACCATGCCCGGCATAAATATATAATTTTTATTTGCCAAAGAGTGAACAAGAGAAAAGAAAACAACAAAAAATTGAAAAATAAACAAAATAAAATTAAATCATTTTAGGGGTCAGTGAGATGGCTCAGTGAGTAAAGGCACTTGCTACCAAGCCTGGTGCCCTGAGTTCCATCCCTGGGACACACAAAGTAGAGGGAGAGAACCAACTCCTGCAAGTTGTTCTCTGACCCTCATCGGCTTCACCCCCTACAAAATAAGTGTGATTTTAAAAAGAAATAGTTTTGGGAGAGTGCTTCAGGCTTCTGACTGTATATATACATGTTTTATCTGCAAGGGACATAAATTTACTCTGGTAATAATATTTAAATTTCCTAAAATTACAGCAATTAAAAATATTTTTGTTGGGTTTATTTTTATCATAGCACTGAAATTTATGCCTACTGTTCCTAAAGTTTCAACACTTGGACTTTGTTTCTATTATATGAGCTGAAAATATTAGAGGTAAATTTACATCCACAATTAGTTCTGTGAAATCTTTATATCTTAAAACCATATCTTTTTAACATCTATTATTACAGCTCCCATTCATTACAAGGTTTTAGTGTCTAAAAACTCATCATTGGCAAATTAGTTCTTTTGTTTCTATTGTGGTGGACCTGAGATTAGAAAGATTGGGGCAGAGATCAAGGTCTCTGAGCGAAGAGAAATTGAGCCAAGAAATCCAATCAGCAGTCACTCCCTTCCCAGCATCTCCTTTCTCTCCTGGCAGCCCTGAGAAAATGACTCTGAGCTTAGAGTTTGCCAGTCCTAGTGGGCCTGGGCCTGTTTGTGAGTGTGGCAGCACGGCTGGCACTGGGTCACACCTTCAGTGTAAATTAGTGGACGGTGTTCATCTTTCCAAATCACTCACCCTTCCAGGCTGCCCAGAGTCCCCTGAAGAGTGCTGGGCTCTGAGTTCCTCCTGGTGACATCCAGAAAGGCTGGGGTGGCATCCATCACTGGCGACCTCTGAGGAGCTTCAGCTTCTAGGCTTTCTCTGAGTCATAACGGACGAGCAATATGGCATCACTTTTCTGGCTCTTCCTAAGTTGCTGACTCCCAGGAGAAAAGGTAAATGGGTTTGTATTTTGTATACAATCACTTTTTTTTTAAAGAGCTAATATAAGAATGACAGAAGGGGCTGGGGAGATGGCTCGGTGGTTAAGGGCACTGACTGCTCTTTGAGAGAACCCAGGTTCAATTCCCAGCACCCACATGGCAGCTAACAACCATCTGTAACTCCAGTTCCAGGGAATCTGATGCCATGGGCATTGCATGACATGGATGCACTTACACTCATGCAAGCAATACACTCATATACATAAAATAAAAATAATAAAATATTTTTAAAAAGAATGACAGAAAATTCTCCTAATCTTCATGTTTTCCAAATTCTCCTCTTATTGATTGATTGATAGACTGATTGAGACAGGGTTCTCATGTATTTGAGACTTGCTATGTAGCCAAGCTATAAAGGATCTCATGTATCTCAGGGTAGCCTGGGACTCTTTATATAGCTAAATTAGATAGATGAGAGCTATTGACCCTCTTGCTTCTGTCTCCTGAGTGCTGGGACTACAGGGTGTTTCATTGCACCCAGATCATATAGTTCTGAGGATGGAACACCAGGGTTCTGGGCATGCTAGACAAGCACTCTACCAACTGAGGGGCATCCCCAGCCATTTTCCTACATCATTATTCATCAATGGCCTCACATAAAAATGTTTTTGTGAGGACCCACATGGCAGCTAACAACTATCTGTAACTTCAGTCCCAGGGGATCTGACAGCCTCTTGTGATGTCTGCTGCATCGCACGACACAGGTGCACTTACCTACATGCAGGTAATACACGGGTACACATAAAATAAAAAATAAAAAAAAAGTTTTTCTTTCTTTTTTTTTCTTTCTTTCTAAAGCTTCCCATCTTTTGTTCTATAACTTTTTTTCCCCTCTAACAAGCTCCCTTCCTTGGGTTGGCAAGATGACTCAGCTTGGTAAAGGCACTTGCTGCCAAGACCTGAGGACCCGAGTTTGACTCCCATGATACAAGGAGAGAACCAATTCTTGCAAGTTGTCCTCTGATCTCTGTGTATGCATGTGCGCAAATACACACACACACACACACACACACACACACACACACACACACACACAATAATAAATAAATAAATAAATGTAATAAAAATTTAAAGAAAAACAAAACCATATTGGGCATGGTGGCCTATGTCCTTAATCTCAGCAGGGACAGAGGCATGTGGATCACTGTGAGTTCCAGGCCTGCCTGTTTTATATAGTTCCAGGCCAGCTAGGGCTACATAGTAAGACCCTCTTTCAAAAAACTAACCAACGAATGAACACTCTCCTTCTCCTCAAACCCACTAAACAAAATCCTCCTACCATTACCTGAAATACCAGGCTGAGTTGGTACAAAGTACAAGGTACAAAACCATCAGGTTTGGCTTACCTGGGGTGGCTGCAATGCCCACTGCAGAAGGCAAGCTCTCTCTCTCATCTGGGTGTGGGTACTCCCAAATTGAAGTGGTTGTGTGGCTCTTTGGTTTTTGCCTGATGGTGGAAACATGAGGGGCACAGGGGAAAAAACTGCCAGGAGGTCCAGGAGAGGTTCTGTGAGAAACTGTTCTTCCTCCAACCCCCAGAGCAGAGTGAAAACAGCAAACCACTTTGGCAGAATGGAAACACAGAGTCAGTGACAGGAAGCAACACCACCAATGCGCTAATGAGGCACAGGGCACAGGAAATGAATGCTCAGCTCTTCACAGGTAGCAAGAAACCCATCTTCAGACCTAGCATCTGTGACAGACATGATTAAAGAGGGGCAAGGAGTCAGAGACTTGATTGTTCACCCTGGATTTCTGAGAACTATAAGTTTACAGGGTCAAAATGTAGTTTTTATTGTGGTTATTTATTTTTACTTGTTTATTTTTGTTACATTTATTTAGTGTGTGTGTACTCATGCCATGGTGTGAGTGGGAAGGTAAGAGGACAACTGGGAGTGAGGGGGTTTTCTTCTACTGTGTGGTTCCCAAGCTTAGTGGCAAGTTCCTTTACTGAATGAACCATCTGGCCTGCTCTGGTTTTGTGTTTTGTTTTGGTTTTTGAGGCAGGGTCTCACTCTGTAGCCCAAGTTGGCTAAACTCATGGTAATCCTCCTGTTTCAATCTCACCAGTTGTGGGGTTACAGGTATAAGCCTGGCTCGGAATGGTTCTTAGGTAGTCTAAACAGTGTTAGACTGTAGATGACCCTCTCCCAGTGTGGAAAAGCCTCACAAAACAGGCCACGCAGGCCTCCTTGCAAAACAGGACCTGGCCAGACAGCTACATTTAGAACTGTCTCGGCATAAAGCTGTTCCCCAGATATTTTTAGAAGATAAACAGGACCCTGCACCCAGACCCACTGATGTAAGAACTGTCTCAGTTCAAGCTACTTCACTTGAAACTAAAGACTATTTTTGCCACCTTCCACATTCCCCAGCCCCTTTTAAGAATTTACTCAGCAGTCAGAAGGCTGCTGGTTGCCTTTCTCTCCCCAGCTGAGCTGCCAGCCACCAGCAATCCTAAGAAATAAACTTTGCTTTACTGGAGTCCTCCTATGTTTCCTGTGGCTATTCCCTGCCCGGCTTTTATCTAACAAATAGCACTAGACCGAACTGCTTAGAGAGAAGTGCAGATCTGGCACCTGCTTGTGGTTCAGTGGGAGGAAGGTACAGAAGAGATAGACTTTATAGGTGATACTGATAGGGCTGGTCTGTGTTTCATGCTTTGAGAATTTTTGTTCTAGGTATGGCCCCAGGAATGGAGCTGAGCTTGGGTTACAGGGTTTCTGGAGGCTGTTTCTTTCTTAAGACTTCTGGTAGGGGGCTTTCTGGCTTGGCTCTTCTGCAGGCCAATCCATGTCTTTTTATCCTCCCATCTCAAGTGCTAGCAGGTTTCTCCCCAGGGTTGACCTGAAGTGTCGCAAGCTTGAGAGATTGTTCAAAGTTTGTTTCTAACTCCCCTGCCCTTTTGCTCCACTCATCTCCAGAAACAGTCTTGGGGGAGGTAGAAGCTGCCACTAAGACTGTTACAAGGGCCTCTCCAACCACATTTTCCATGCCAGGTGGATCTCCAGGTGGGTGAAAGGGATGATAACAGTGCTTCTGTCACCAGGCCCCTCCCATACCTCTTCCCAGTGGACGTTGGAGTCCTCTGCTTGCCCAACTCCAGGCTACCCTGCATGTGTCTAGGCTCCCAGAGGGTGGGGGGGGGTAGGGCACTACAGACTAGCCTTGCATTCTCCAGGGAACCCTGCCATATCAGGCCCTTGCCTCCCTCTCTCCAAGAGCAGGAAACAGGTAGTTTGATGGCAGCTGGTTATAGGACTGGAACCTGGGTCTCTGCCCACATCTACTTTGAATCAGGTCTGAGTAAGAACAAAACTCCTCACAAAATCTGCACCAGAGCTGGTGACCAGGCTGCCACTGTGAGCCATTGTAGCTAATAAAGTAGGTACTGTATATGAGCTGGGAACTTGAGAGGTGCTTCAAGAGAAGGGTAGGTGGAGCCAACCTCAGAACCCTGATGATAAAAAGAACATGGCCCTCTGTGTTTGATGACTTCTTCTATGTGCCCAGCTTGCTGCAGGCAGTCTTCCCTCCAGTCTTACCACTCTGCTGCTATGCCAGACAGAAACAACCTCGGAGAGGTCCCCTGCTCAATCCCTCCACCATCCTTCCCTCCTTTCCTTCTCCAAGGCACGGACCTGATCAAGAACAAGGTAAAGAATGACTTCTCAGAATAGGAAAAGAAAACTGCTTTTAAACCGGATTGTTCTAGTCTTCCTTTAAACCATTTAAAATCATTTAAGGGTTGAATGTGACATATGCTCATAAACTATTAAGACTGGTTTTATTCTTTTTTTTTTCTTTTTGAGGCAGGCTCTTGCTACATAGCCCAAGCTGGCCTTGAATTATCAATCCTCCTGCCATAGACTCCTGAGAGCTGGGATTACAGGCATGTGCCGCCATACTAAGATTGGTTTTGAATAGACTCAATGTATCTTGGTGAGGAAAATCCTTTGATGCCTGCTTCAAATTCCAGAAACTTATCAGAAGTCCTGTTCAGGACATCAGCTGTGTTCAGATTCTAACCATCCAGAGGATGCAGCTCCTACACTCTTTGTAGGTGTTTCCTTAGAAGTAAACTGGCGATGAGAACAGTTCTGCAATGCTGTTGTAAAAATTATTGAACCAAGTCGAGTGTGGTAGCGCACGCCTTTAATCCCAGCACTTGGGAGGCAGAGCAGGTGGATCTCTGTGAGTTCAAGGCCAGCCTGATCTACATAGGTCAGCTGGGGCTACAGGGAGACCCTGTCTCAAAAGGACAAAAAAAAAAAAAAACCCAAAATTTTATTATTGATTGAACCAATAGTGAAAAATGCTTGTCTGGGAACTTGACACACATTGAGCCCAGTGAGTAGGGGCTGCTACGCTGTTATGACTTTGGTTTCATGCCCTTATACTTAATGAACTGCTCTCTTATCCCCTACCCCAGTGTTACTTTACTCTTTAAACACATATTTAAACTGGGCATGGCAAATGATGCCTGTAATCCCAGTTCTTGGGAGGCTGAGGCAGGAGGATTGAGAGTTTGAGGCTAGTCTGGGCTATATCTCAAAAAAAAAAAAAATCCCACAAAACCCCCCCTGCAAAAAAAATTTATGGCAAATCTCCCACTAGGGGAACTGAGCTTGAGTTCTTCTGAGATTTTCTGGCACTGAATTGGTTCAGAAAACCAATGGGCCCTCTCTCGGCATGGTGGCCAGTTTGATGACTACTCCCTTGTGGGTGAGCATGTTATGTACAGACTCTGTTCATCAACACTTTGCTCTCTGGGTGTCCAGAACACCTTCATTTTATCAGCAGTTTCTTTTCCCTTGTAAAATTCCAGTAAAGCTGCA